GGGGGCCGGGGGCCGGGGGACCGTCCCCATGGCGCCCGGGTGACACGCTGGCCGCAGGCGAGGTGCGGATGCCCTCGGGGAAGACGGCACGGCCCAACATCAAGGACAACAAGGACGGGACGGTGACGGTGCGCTACGCCCCCACCGAGAAGGGGCTGCACGAGATGGACATCCGCTACGACGGCAACCACATCCCCGGTGAGCGGGCCGGCGTGGGGCCGGGCACTGGGGGCACTGGGAGGGCAGGAGCTGGGCTGATGCCATGCTGAGAGCCTCCCCCTCGGGGCCGCATCCTTGTGCCCCATGGACTTGGGTGCTGCGTGTGCTGCGCACCATGAACCCTGCGCTCCGTGGCCCCCTGCACCTTGTGCGCTCTGGCCCTGGGCACCCCACGTGCTACGCGCTGTGTGCCCTGCACCCCATGCACCTCAAGCGCCATGCGTCTTGTGCCCCATGGCCCTGTGTGCCCCACGGACCGTGCTGGGAGCCCCGTGAACCATGTACTCTGTGCACCATGGTGCTGTGCGCTGGGCACCCCATGCACCATGGCGCGGCAGCCCACGCATTGTGTGCTGCACACCTCGTGCACTGAGCGCCCCACGCACCTTGTGCACCACGGCCTTGTGCAGCGGGCCCTGTGCACCATGCGCTCCGTGCACCGTGGTCCTTTGCCCCCTGTGCACCGTGCACCCGTGCACCATGGCCTCGTGCACCCCGAGTGCTATGTGCTCTGCACCCTGTGCACCATGATCCCGTGCACCCTGCACACCCTGTGCACCATGGCCCTGCACAACCTATGCGCCATGCACTGTGTGTCCCATGCATGGTGCACCATGGTGTCACTGTGCTTGCGGTCCTGACTGTCCCCATGTCCCCAGGGAGTCCCCTCCAGTTCTACGTGGACGCCATCAACCCACGGCACGTGAGTGCCTACGGGCCAGGACTGAGCCACGGCATGGTCAACAAGCCCTGCACCTTCACCATCGTCACCAAGGATGCCGGGGAGGGTAAGGAGAGGACATGGGGGCACCGTGGGGGTCAGCAGGGCCGGGGAGGGCTGAGGGCACAGGGCTGGGTGCCCTTGTGGGAGCCTCTGACACCAGCCCCTTCCTCCAGGAGGTCTCTCGCTGGCCGTGGAGGGCCCCTCCAAGGCGGAGATCACATGCCAAGACAACAAGGATGGGACCTGCACTGTGTCCTACCTGCCCACGGCCCCCGGTGACTACAACATCATTGTCCGCTTCGATGATAAACACATCCCGGGCAGCCCCTTCACTGCCAAGATCACCGGTAAGAGGGGACCTGCACGGGTGCAGGGACCCTGTCATGTGGCCATGGGGACCCCGTCCATCCCAACGCTTGGGAAACACCTCCCCACAGCCATGGGGACTCTCCTGCATGGCCATGGGGAGCCCTGCATGGCTATAGGGTTCCCTACATGGTCATGGTCATGGCGACCTCCATATGGCCATGGGGACCTGCATGGTGATGGCCACGGGGACCCCTGCATGGCCAGAGGGACCCCAACATGGCCGTGGTCACAGGGAACCCCACATGACTGTGAGGACCCCTACATGGTTACATGGACCTCCCACATGACTGTGGGGACCTCTGTATGGCCACAGGGACCCCTGCATGCTCATGTGGACCTTCACATGGTCACAGCCACGGGGACCCCCATGTGTTCGTGCGGACCCCCACATGGCCTTGGTCACAGGGACCCCCACAGGACCATGGGGACTCCTGCAAGGTCACAGGGAGGACTCAGTGGGGCCATGAGGACCATATCACGTGGCTATGGGGGACCTGCCAACTCTAGCTCTGGGAACCCCATCCACTCAGCCATGGGGACCCATCTACATGGCCATAGGGACCCCATCCATCCCCAGCCGTGGTGACCCCATCCACCCCTGTTCCTGGGGACCCCATCCATCCCCAGTCCTGCTGCAGTCAGGGCTGCCTTCTGGGGGGACACCCTGGCCCTGTGTGCTGTCCCCCAGTCCCACTCACAGTGGCCCCACAGGGGACGACTCCATGCGGACGTCCCAGCTCAACGTGGGCACCTCCACGGACGTGTCGCTGAAGATCACGGAGACGGACCTGAGCCTGCTGACAGCCAGCATCCGGGCACCCTCGGGCAACGAGGAGCCCTGCTTGCTCAAGAGGCTGCCCAACCGCCACATTGGTGTGTGGGGCCACCACTACAGCAGGGACCACAGGGCACAGGGACGCAGGGACATGGTGGCGTGGGGATGTGGGGACACGGGGACAGGGACATGTGAGGCCATGAGGATGTGGGTGCATGGGGAACGGGGACACAAGGCACTGGGCTGTGGGGACACAGGGATGGGGCACATGGGCCGTGGGGCAACGGAACATAGAGAGACAGGGCTACGAGGGCTGGGGGGGGCCACAGGGCCACAGCTTGGGTGTCTGGTCCTTGGCTGGGTGAGCACTGGGTGGCCTGGGCCGCTGTGACAGTGCCGGTGCCCACAGCCCTGCCCGGGACTGGTGCAATGCCTGGGGCTTCATGGCAGTGCCCGTGGTGGCACCTGGGGCTGTTAGCAGTGTGGGGCCGCGTGGCAGGGGCTGACGGTGGCTTGTCCGCAGGCATCTCGTTCACGCCCAAGGAGGTGGGCGAGCACGTGGTGAGCGTGAAGAAGAGCGGGCAGCACGTCACCAACAGCCCCTTCAAGATCCTGGTGGGGCAGTCGGAGATTGGCGACGCCAGCCGGGTGAAGGTGTGGGGCAAGGGGCTCGTGGAGGGCCACACGTTCGAGGTGTCCGAGTTCATCGTGGACACGCGCAGTGCCGGTGAGCCCCTGCCATGGGGGTGGGGACAGACCAGTGGCCATGGCGTAGTCCTTGTTGTGGTGTAGTCATGGGTGGGACGCAACGGTGGCCAGGATGTGGCCATTGTTGGGATGGTGATTATGGTGGTGACTAGGATGGGATGGTGATGTTGGTTGTGGTGTAGCTGCGACTTGGACGGGATGATGGCCATGATGGTGGCACAGCTGTGGTGGTGGCTGGGGATGGGATGGTGATTATGGCTGTGGCTGTGGCTGGGAGGTGACGGTGGCTGTGGCCATGATGTGGCCATGGCTATGGCTGGGCTGGGATGATGGCAGTGTTGGTGGCTGGGATAGGACAGTGACTATGGCCATGGTGTGGCTGTGGCTGGTCTGGGATGGTGGCAGTGGCCGTGGTGGTGGTTGCGGCGACCATGGAGGCAGCTCTGATCTCTTCTCTGTGTTGCCAGGCTATGGTGGTCTGGGCCTGTCCATCGAGGGCCCCAGCAAGGTGGACATCAACTGTGAGGACGTGGAGGACGGCACCTGCAAGGTCACCTACTGCCCCACTGAGCCCGGCAACTACATCATCAACATCAAGTTCGCTGACAAGCACGTCCCAGGTAGGGGCGGGCGGGGGCGCCCGGAGGATGGTGGGGTCACGGTGAAGGTGACGGGCGAGGGGCGCATGAAGGAGAGCATCACGCGCCGGCGGCAGGCCCCCTCCATCGCCACCATCGGCAGCACCTGCGACCTCAACCTCAAGATCCCAGGTAGGGGTGGCCCCTGGGGCCCAGCCTTCCTCTTCCTCCTCCTCCTCCTCTTCTGGCAGGGACAGGGCAGCCCCTGCTGCACACGGGGCCCAGGACATGTCCCGCCATGTCTCCTCCACCCTCGCTCTGATCTCCACCCCCCTTCTTCCTTCTCTCTCCATCCATCTGTGCATCCGTCTGTGCATCCGTCCATGTGTGCCTGTGCCCTTCCCTGTGCTCATCCGTGTACGCATCCATGTGCCCATCCGCGTATCCATCTGTGTGTGCCTGTACCCTTCCCTGTGCTCATCCGTGTATGCATCCATCTACACCTGTCCGTGTGTTCGTCCATGTGTCCGTCTGTCCATGCGTCTGTCTGCCTGTGACCATCCACCCGTGCATCCATCCATCTGTGCATCCATCCACGTGTGCATCCACATGTGCATCCATCCTCGCATCCATCCATCCATGCCTCCACCCATCCATGCCTCCACCTTTGCATCCATCCATCTGTGCCTCCATCTGTCTGTGCATCCACCTTTGCATCCGTGCGTTTATCTGTGCCCCTATCCATCCGTGCATCCATCTTTGCATCCACCCATCCGTACATCCACCCGTGCTTGCATCCCTGCCTCTGTTTGTGTGTTGCTCCGTCCATGCGTGTGTCCATGCATATGTCCCTGGGCCTGTGCGTGTGCTCGCACGTGTGCCCCTGTGCGTCCGTGCGTGCGTCCCTGTGCCCGTGCGCGTGCCCGTGCGGGCGGGCGCGTGTCCGTGTGTGCGTGCCCGTGCGTGTGTGCGTGCGGCCGCGGCCCCCAGGGAACTGGTTCCAGATGGTGTCGGCGCAGGCGCGCCTGACGCGCAC